CCCCGACGTGTATGCAGGTGGGCATCCCCCAAACTGTCAGTTGGGCAATCGGCCGCGGCTGGCCCTCCCAGCACACATCTCGCGGGGACTCCTCCGTCTTCTTCGTCCCGGAAGCCGACCGACTCTGGGGCGTTGGCAACAACATCATCAACTCCTCAACCGCTAACGTGCCAACTAACGCAACCAACGGTCGTACGGCAACTGCTAACAGCGCTGCTGGGACTGCTACTGCAGCCGCCGCGACGGCACTGCAGCCGCAGCAGCAGCAGCAACGGCGAGCATACTCGGGTCTTTTCAGTGCTGTCGCTGGCTTGACAAATGCATCTTCCAAAGCCGCCGCCTCGCCCTCAACTGCAACTGCTGCGCCGCTGGTTACCAAGTCGGATGGCGCCGCCGCCGCCACTGACCCACGGGTCACCGCCACCGCCACCAACCCCGCCGCCGCCTCCGACGACCAAGACGACGACGATGATCCCATGCTTGCAGGAGGAGGAGATGCATCCACGTCAGATGGAGAGCTGAAGACGCTGGACGTGTTGATGCCCAACGCGTCGGTTCCCGCCAACCAGACCACCAGCTACCTGTGCACTCACATTCAGTTGCCAAATGACCGCAAGTACCACATCGTGCGGTGAGGCGCCTGCTGCCGGGGTGGAGGGAGGCGTTGAGGAAGGAAAGAGACAGGGTTGGAGTACTTGTAGTACTTGTAGTGCTTGTAGTACTTGTAGTGCTTGTAGAGCTTGTAGTGCTTGTAGAGCTTGTCAGAGCGGGCTAGGCGGGGTCGCCCGGGACGGCGTAACACAGTGTGTAATCGGCGGGGTCGGCTTAGTTCGCCTAATGTCTCCTGCACACATGCAACATTGCAACCCCTCCGTAACGCTCGCCACCCTCTCCTCTTCCCTTCTTCCATCATCTCGTCCTCCCTCGTCCTCCCTACCTCCCTACCTCTTAATTGGGATCCCGTTGCTTTATTTTTCATAATTTCATTTGCTTGTCCCCTCCCCCCTGCCTCCCTCGTCGTCCCCCCTGCCTCCCCCAGCTCTGACGCGCTGGTTCGCTCGCCGCTCATCCACCACATGATTCTGTTCGCGTGCGAGAAGCCGCCCGCGCAGCTGCAGCGGGGTGGCGTGTTCGATTGCGTGGCCACCGGGGGCGGGCAGGGTTGCAACACCTTTTACATTGGTGCGTGCGTGCATGTGGTGGGGGGGGGGGCAGGAGGAGGTGCAATACCTTGTATAGTTGTGCATGCTTGTTTGTTGGGGTTACGATTGGGGTTGCAAACTGGGCGGCAGCAGTTAGGAACAACAGACAAACAATTTGGTTGTTCATGTAGATTTGGAATCTGCTCTCGTCGTCCCCACGAGAAAGCGTCACTCAGCCCCCCTTTAAACGTAACCCCCTCGCACCCTCCTTTTGTCGCACCCTCGCTCCCAGGCTCCCAACTAACCCACCTCCCGCCCCGCCCGCCCCCCAGGCTGGGCCCCCGGACGCGGCGGCGACGGTTACCCGCCCTCCGTAGGACTGCCCATCGGCGAGTCGGACTCCACCTACTTCTCCCTGCAGGTGGGGGTAGGGTGCATGAAAATGCAGGCGGGGGTAGGGTGCACGGGGACGAGGAAAATTAAAGAGCATATCTCTCTGCAGTTTAGCCGGTAATCCCTCCACTCGAGAGGTCACCCTCGCAGTTCAGTTGTTCCTACTCGCGGCCTGTTTTCTCAACACACAGCTATCGCTCAACCCCCACATACACCCCCAGGTGCATTACAACAACCCCGGGGGCCAGGCGGGTGTGGTGGACAACTCGGGTTTCAAGCTGTACTACACACCCAGGCTGCGGCCGTACGACGCCGCCGTACTGACGGTTGGGCAGCGAGCCATCGTTATCCCGCCGGGCCTCAGGAACCACTCGCTGCAACCCAACGTGAGAGAGGAGGGGAGGGGAGAAGAAAGAGGGAGTCGAAGAAGAGGAGAGGAGAAGAGGGAATCGAGGAGAAGAGGGAGTCGAGGAGAAGAGGGGAGTTGAAGAAGGAAGTAGGGGAAGAACCCGCGTGCTTAGCTCCCTTCCGCCTGCCACTATGCCACGGCCCCGGCACAACACGTACACGACTCGCCCCGTTCCGTTGCTGCTCGGTTGCCCACCACTCCCCTGTTGAACGATCTTGAACGTCACGGCCGAACTGGACTCTGCTCGTATGCTATTCCATGCTCCGCGCCCCTCCCTGTCCCATGTCCCCAACCTCCCTTACTTCCCTTCCCTGGTCTTGGTTACCTCCCCTCCCCTCCCCTCCCCCCTCCTGCCAGGTGTGTCCCTCCACCTGCACCTCCCGCCTGACCGCCCCCCTCCGTCTGCTGGGCAGCGGGCTGCACATGCACACGCTGGGGCGGAGCATCGTGACACAGGTGAGGGGCGCAGCATCGTGACGCAGGTGATGATGAGGGCTGGGGAGGGCGGCGACGGGCGGGGAGGTGGAGACGGAGGAAGACGGTGAAGGACGGGGTGGTGGTGTTGGTGGTGTGTTTGGCTCGGCGGACAAGCCGGCTTGCTGGCCTCGCCCATCCCTGCCTCCCTGCTCTCTCACCGCCCCCTCCTGCCCACTGCCTATCTCCGTCTTACTGTCATTAAATCCACGCACCTCCCCTGGCCCTGCCGTCTCCCGCCTCCCGCAATCAGTCCGCAATTATACCCGCAACCGCAAAACCCCCAATCAGCCCGCTATCAACTCGCACCCAACCCGCCACCCCCGCAGCACATTCGCAACGGCACGGAGCTGCCGCCGGTCGGCTCCAAGCGCTTCTACGATTTCAACTTCCAGTCCGTTGACCCTGTGGTGAGTCTAACCCTGGGTGGGTGATGGACGGATGGACTGATAGCCGAGGGGTTTGTGTGGTAGGCTGGATGCATCTTCCGTAAAGCCAGTGGTAAGACTGGCCGGTTGGTCAGTCTGGAGTCCTCCAGGAAAGAATGGTTGGAAGGAGAAAGGAGTCGTGTTCCATGCACTGCACGCCCCTTGCTGTAGATAGGAACATCGCTTCTGCCCGGCCCTTCCGTGGCTCGCTTACTTTTCCCACGCATTTAATTCTGCACTCCCATTGACCCCAACTCCTGCTCCTCTCCCTGCTGCCCCCCCCCCCGCCGCGCATCAGGCCCTGGACACCTCCATCCTGGCCCCCGGGGACGCGCTCATCACCACCTGCTCCTACGACTCAACCTCCCGAACCAATGTCACAAAGTGGGTCTCTTGCCCGGCGGCAGAGAAGCCTTACCCCGGGAACACCTCTTATATGCAAGGGAGCTGTTGGGCCTCGAGCTGTTGAGGGCTTCGTGCACCTCCCTACCGAGCATCTGCCCCGTTGGCAGTATTTATGTATCGTTGTTCGGTCCTCTGCGGTGCCGCTCATCTCTGTTGGCCGTGTGTAGTGGCTCTTACCACCGTCTTCCCTGTCGCGCCCACTCACCGTCCTGCTGTGTATTTACACTTTTATGGTACATATGAACATATCTGTATTACACATGCATCTTACACCTTATGCAGGTTCGGTGAGAGTACTGAGGACGAGATGTGTTTCAACTTCATCCTCTACTACCCCAAGAACCCCGACTTCGTGGCCTGCATGGCCATGGACGCCGCGGGTGACCCACGGGTCGCCCTCTGCGGCGGCTGGCAGGCAATTGACACCGTGGAGACAACCCTGCGGCAGCTAGCAGCAGCCAACAAGAACAACACCAACAGCAGCACCGGTGTTGATGGTTCCGTGGCTCCTAATGCTTCGCAACCAACACCCCAGAAGGCGGTGAACTTGAGTGCCGTACCAGCATTGGCGCCGTACTTTGCTTCCGGCGCGTTGGTGCCCGTACCGCCAGCTGATACGCAGTACGAGCCGTACGGCAGGGAGTGCCCGGATATGTCGTACCCGATGTCGTGAGGAGAAGGAGGAGGTTGCTTTGTTAGGTTGCTGGATTGCTTGGGTGCTCGGTTATGTGAGCGGAGGCGGTTGTGTGTGGTGTTGGTGCTGGAAGGGGAAATGACAATACATCTAGGTAGGCAATGAGCTGTTGTGCAAGTATCATATTGTTGCACTATAGGTGGCTGCATACACACTCTGGCTAGTTGGCTTGTGTGGTGTGAACGGGCTAATTGCTGTGTTGGCCTTACATTTGGTGTACGGGGGACTGGTAGGCCTGCTGTTTGTTGTGTGCTGTCATCAGGTGTGTGCGCGCGTGACGGTACACAGTTGGAAGCAGCGTGTCTGTTCGATGTACGACCTGCATGCATGCATGGTGGAGGGTCAAGCTCCAAACGCCGCACGTGAGTTGCGGCTTGATGGCTGCAATGGCGCGTGCAGACCATGCATGCGCCCTGGATGGGGTTGGGTTGGGCGGGGGGCTTTCCTAACCCGTGAGACGTGAAACTGCGAGTAAACGTTAAAGGGGACGGGGTATTGCTTGGAGGAGCTGTCCTCCAACAAAAGCATGATGAGTCCGGTTAGGTTCCTTGCTGCTATATGACGATACAGTTCTGCCAGCCGTTTGCCGTCCTGCCTAGGTGGCTCCCATCCTGCTGCCCGACCTGCTGGTCTGCACCACAGTGGATGCGGGCGGCCCGCAGCTGTCCTGGCACACTGGTAGCATGCGGGAGATGACGGGGGTCGTACGAGGTGCGGCACCTTGAGGCCGCTTTCCCAGGTGTGAGCGTGCGACGGCGGGGCTGGGTGTGGGGATGTGCTGGGGGTGCAGCCGCTGAGGAGAAAGAGGAGGAGCAGCAGGAGGAGGAGACATGGGGGGTGGTTCTTCTTCTTCTGCTGCTACTGTGCTGAGTCTGCTGCTAGGAAAGCCCTCTGCTTATGCGTATGGGTAGTCGAAGCCCGGCGGGGGGAAGGGGGTCCACCGTGACACCGGGTATGAAAGGGAAACAGTTTATGCAACCATGAGCAGAGACTGAAGGTGGGCCTGAAGGACCTTTCCTTCCCCGTGTAACACAGGTTAAGAAGGCTACACGCCGCTCCTCTCATTTCTTGGTCCCGCCTGCATGTCCTTGGGCTTTCAGGACGCTTGGAACACCAGCCCCCAGCACCTCTCGCCGGCACGTGAACAATCAATCCTCCACGGCTATATAGCACCACGCCACGGGCGCACACACGCCAAACGGGCTGTAACCACACCCAACGTTCCGAATCATCAAGCGGACGCGCATGACCTAGGTGGATGGAGGAAGTAAACGCCTGCTGCTGCCCGTAAGGACGTCCAAGTGCGTGGCGCAAATAAACGTGCTCGACGCACCACGATTCCACACACCACGCATACACGCATCCAGTACCGGTACGTTCCGGGCACACCGAGAGGGAGGGATGGTTCACGAACTGATCCCAGGACTGACCGAACTCCCGCATCAAGCGCTTTGCATCCAGCCCTTCGCATCCAGCCCTTGCATCCTCCCATCAGAAGAAAGAGCACAGGGAGTAGGAAGCAACCCCGAGAGCAGGTATGAATGAATGACCGTTACAGCGATCACAAACAAGAAGGCAAGGGAAGGCACGTCATAACAGCCTAATTGGGGTTAGCTCACGCCGTCCGTTCCCCCCCGAAATCCTTAAATCCAGCCTAATGCGGAATATGTATCCCTATTAACCCCCACACACAAGCTGTGCTTTCGCACTGTTGCCCTTAAATGGGCACCTGCTCCAAGGTCGTCAACATGCAGCCGGCATTGCCCAACACACCAGATCACCAGTATCACACACTCTACCGCGCCGCTGTGACATATCATTGTCATACGGACGCCATTGCTCTCCAGCCCTCCGCACCTACCGCCGCCTAAGGGTGGCTGCCCTTATGTAGCCCCGCCCTCAGCTTCCGCCCCTCCTTCCGCGCTCGAGTTCCTCCCCTAAGTACCTCCTCCTCCTCCTTCCTCCCACCTTCCCTCACCCCTCCCTCACCTCTCCCTCACCCCTGCCTCCCAACAGCCCCCCCCCAGCCTCCATGCGTCGCGCCCTCTCCTACGACAGCCCCAGCTTGGGCTTCATGGTGGGGGCCTCGCAGATCTCCATGTAGGTCACAGTGGGCGGACCCGCCAGGTCATTTTCGAGGGCCGTGAGGAACGCCGGCGTCACGTCCGGATCCATGTCGGGCCCCAGGTAGCTGATCAACGTCAGGAATTGCTCCGTGGGCAGCGAGCCGTTGTCCGAGAAAACATCGAACACGCCCATGCACACGCGGTTAAAGTCCTCGCAGCTCATGGCCAGCATGAGGAAGACGAATTTGTGCAGGTCGATGGCCGCGGGGTCGAAGTTGCCGACCTCCAGGACTTTGGCGACGACTGGGTCCGCGATGCCGGCTTGCTGGCAGAGGCCGTTGACCTGGGATTCGGTGAGGACTGCGCCACCGCTGCCGCCACGGCCGTACACTTGTCGTAGCTGCTCTTTGCCGGGTGCTGGGGTGCTGGTTGCGCCTGAGGCTACGTTTGCTAGGTTTGTAAAGTACCTGTGAAGGCGATGCAAGCAAGGGATGGGTTCGTAGGGCCGAAGGGAAGGGAAGGGAAGTGAAATGGGCAACATACATGCGCCCCAGCCGCGCCCCAGCGGCATAGCGTCTAAGAGCGGGAAACTATTAGGGAAGACTTACTTTGCTGAAAACGCTATGATGTCATTGGGTTGTCGTCGGATAACCTCCTTCGTGTACGCTTTAAGAATGTCTGCCAGGTTGTGAGGGATGACAATCTGAATTCATCGCAAGCCATATACAAGTCAGTAACCCATTTCTTAAGGCTGTCTTTTAAGCAGCACGCTTGGAGGTAGAGCCACACCTGCTCCGCGCAGAAGATGGGTTCTACGTCCATTCTAACCCTATGTTCTACAGAGTGTTCAAGTCAACGAAATAGACTTCTGATTTATGTAGTATTGTATACAAAAGTTAGTTTGCAAAATGACTTGTGAGCAATAAAGCAAAGCCTTTGACTTCCTGTCTAGCAGCGGTAGCTTTCAATTAGGTATCTTGCTGTAAACCAAGTGCGAATGGTATAGAACTTTCAGCTCCTGCGACGTAGCGCGGCACTCGAAGGTTTCCGCGGTGTTGCCGTACTACATTGTCTGTGAACAAGGAAGAAGGAACTGCGATATCCTTCCCGGGGTGGGTATTACGTGTTCCTGCATGCGCATGTTATGATGCACGCAAGCTCGTCCGGATACGGAGTACCACCACTTGTCCTCAAACCGTTGATCATGGACGTGTGACGACGAGCGCGATTTGCTGCCCTCGCAGCCACGCATTTAGGACCCCTTCGCTACGCTACTGACTGCTCAACATGACCCTCTAATGCATGGAAATTCTCCACCATGCAGACATCCCACTATTGTCAACGCATTTCACACTCTCATTCCATCATTCCTCCGCACGAGCTCGTTTAGCTTCCGGCTCTCCAACCTCATCATCCACCCCCTCCAACGACCTTCCGCCCGCAAGCGAACCAGCCCTGCCGTACTGGTAGTACTGCTGCTCCCCGCCTAGCTCCAAGCCGCCTGCAACCGACTCCCCTAAAGCGCCTGCGCCCCTGTGCTCCTGCCCCTGCATCTCATCTTGCGGCGGCATGAAAGGACTCTGCATCATCATCAACTGCTGCTGTTGCTGTTGCTGCAGCCACTGCAGCTGTTGTTGCTGCGCAGCAGCGATGCTACCCGCCCTGCCTAGCACCTGCCCTGCTCCCTCCATGCTCCCAGCATCTGCAGCAAGGCTCCCAACTGCCGCCAGCTGCTGCCCCCCTGCTGCACCCGGCTGCCTTGCAGCCTCCGACCCCACCCCAACCGCCGCTTGCTGAGCAGATGCAGGCGCGCCAACACCAGTACCACCACCACCAGCAGCCGCTGCAGGGAAGAGGGACGCTGAGGCGGGCTGCGGGTACGAGTGGCCGGCAGGGTTACCGGTACCCGCACCTCCCCGGTTTACCGGTAACGCCCCAGGTAGTGACTCACGTCGTCCCAGCGGAACCAGCGAGATGAGCCCTGACCCCGGGGCTGCATGGGCGCCTGCTTGCGGGGGGCCATGCGGGGGGCCGGCAGGCAGCGGGTGCAGCTGCAGCGGTGGCAACTGCTGGGGGTGGGGTTGCTGCTGAGGGTGCTGCTGGGGGTGCGGGAGCGGGTGGGGGAAGTGGACCCCAGGCGGCGGCAAAGGCGGCAACGCCATGCCGCCGACTCCGCCGCTGCCTGCCGCCGCTCCCCCGCTGCTGACGCTCGGGAAGCCTGTGAGGCTGCCAGAGGGGTGCGAGGTGAAGCCACTGCTCGCAGCAGCACCGCCACCTCCACCACCTCCAGCACTGGATGCCGCTGCTGCGGTGGCTGCCACTACCGCCGCTGCAGCAGCAGCCGTAGCTGAAAGCGGCTGCTGACCCCCCGCCGCTGATGCTGCTGCTGCTGCGGCTGCAGTAGCTGACAGTGGGTGCGGCGAGTCGGTGGTTTCGGAGCCCACCAGCGAGCGAGTGCGCTGGACTCGAAGGGTGAGGGCGGGGCCGGGCGCTACCCCCACTCCGCTGCCTCCTCGGGGCGTGGGGGGAGCCTGAGGGGTGGAGTGGGGTGTGCGGTGGGGCAGCAGTAGGGGTCAGGCTATCGGCCCAGACAGTGTATCAGACGTGCCGGGTAGCGACTTGATGATTACCAACATGTACCGCAGCCAGCGCGTGAGTAGGTCAAGACCCCCCGAACTTCAGTTTGGTTTCTCTCCATAACGCCTCCATCATCCCCTCATGACGTCCACCCGTACATATGGCCCGTGCGGGTAACCCCGTCAACGCGACTCCCCCGTCCCGCCCTTCATCCCCACCCCACCTTGCTGTCCTTCCCATGCATCAGATCCGCCCGACTACGCAGGACAGACGTCTCCCCACCGCCAAGACCACGACGAGCCATGGGGTCCGATGCAAGACCTGCTCCCAGCAGGCCCCCCACCACCGCCCCGGCAGCCCCCGCCGCCGCGCCACCCGCCCCGCCCCCTCCGGCTGCTGCTGCTGCCCCTGGTCCCGCTCCTCCCCCTGCCGCTGCTGCCCCCCGACCCGCTGCCCCCGGCTGTCCACTGCTGCCGGGTTGCGGCCCGGGAAGCAAACCCAGGTCGGGAAGGGTGGTGGCGGGCGGCTGACGCAGACGAAAGTGCGGTCCGGAGGAGGGTGCGGAGGAGGTGGAGGGTGCGGAGGAGGTGGGGTCGTGCGGGGGCTGGGGCTGGGGCAGGCGGCTGATGTCTTGGTGCATGTAGGGCTCCTGGGGGGAGAGGGGGAGGGGGGAGGGCGGGGAGGCGGGGAGGGGGAGAGAGGGAGGAGAGCAAGGAGGCTGGGGTAAGGGACGAAGGGGCCAGAGGACAGGGTATGGGAGGGTTGAGCATCAAGCAGCAGCAGGAGGGAGGCTGCAAGTAACCAAGTTAACCGATCCTCCCAGGTCTGTTCCCCTCCAAACTACTGTCGTATACAACATGTGTTTTCCTTCTACTTTCCCCTCCCCCCAACCGCACAGCGCCACCGCCTCCCACCCCTTCCCCCTCACCGACTGAGGCAGCAGGGCCGCTGGGGTGGTGAGGTCGGAGAGCTGGGCGCTGAGGCCCGTCATGGTGTCTCGAACCTGGTGTGGGGCGTACGGGGGTGTGGGAGAAGTGGGAACGAGGCCGTAAAGCGTGCAGCGCGTTGAAGGGATGAGGTTGGTAAACCGGTGCCCCAAACGCTCAGCTCCTCACCAGCGGGAAATGTGCCATGAGCGCGCGCATGTCTAGCGGACCGCTGAAGTCGCCCACCGCAGCTGCAGTCGCGCGCACCCATTCATCCTGGCTGCCTGCGGCCTGAGTGGAAAGCTCCTGCAGCAGCGGCTGCAGCCGCGGCCGCTCAGGGCGCGGCACGAACAGGCCGGCGAGCAGCAACCTAACCTGGGCCGCGGTCATAGGAAAGGGGTGTAAGCAAGGCGTACGTGAACCTCACATGGAGTGCTAGCTGGTCTTCTGGTGCTCGCGACTTTGTGGAGTTAAAGGCAAGCTCATTTATGTATGCAGAGATGAGTACTGGAGTACTAGAGGTGAGTACTAGGAAGTCCCGTACCTTAACCATGCTGTCCAGGCTGCCAAATGTGCGCATCAGAGCATGAAGGCGCTCCTCCGTCATGCCGCTGGCACCAGTCTGGGCGCTCCAGTCACCGGCAAGCTTTGATTGTAGCCATAGGCGTGTGTGGTCGTGCGTGCCGATAAGCGAGGGCCCAGAGCTGCTTGGGGCCGAGCCATGAGCCGCAGCGCCTTGCCCGCTTGCTGCTCCGTCCATATCGGCATAGACTTAGCACAGCTAATATGGAAATCCTTGGCCCTACAGTTGCGATCGGCTTGCAGCTTGCCCTTCGCGCCAACAAGGAATCCGGCTTGCCAACAACGGCAAATTAGCAACAAGGGAAAGTTTTTCGTACCAACTTGTCAACGCCTTCTGTGCAAACAAGACATGGTAAGCAGGACGTTAGGTTGGTCTGCGCTAATGGCGGTTAGGGTCTCGGAGCAAGTTCGAGCGTTGCCCACTCGGCCGTCGGCTCAGGCATTTGACATGGTCAGAGGATACGAATGCTTTCAAAGGCTCACAGGTCATACGAAATATGGATGAAGTCCCTCACACGGTGAAGGCCGCCCTACAGGCGCTTTCAGACATAGCCTATAAATTGCCGAGGGGAGTCACCATAGATAGTCTTTCCAAAGGAGACCTGGAAAATGTTAGAAAGCAGCTTCCGGAGATCAGTGCGTATATGTGGTCACTGTCTACAGAGCGCAGGGCATCCACCTCGGCAGCCATAGTAACGTCATTCGTCGGAGTCCGTTCATTCTTGTTAAGGCTTACGGCGGAGGCGGTGCGAATACTGCCGACCACACATCATGGCGATGGCTTCAAGGACGAAGTTGTGGTGGAGGGCGCTATGCTGGCCGGCAATCTGCTCATGTTCATGACGCGCCTGCCCAGCTACGTTAGAAAAGAAGATACCCATAAACTTCTAGGGCCGCTCGATTTCGTGCGGAAGCTCTTCAGCATGCAAACAGTGCAAGCTTGTAGCCGTCAGCTAGCTGCCGCGGCCGAGTGGCTGCTTAATGCGCGCAAGGAGGGCATTCAGCAGCTGCCACTGGATACAGTGTTCAGCCAGGCGGTGTTGCCTGCCTTAACGCTGCTTGCTGGCATGATAGGCATCTCCTACCGGATGTGGTCTTGGGAAGTGGATACAGGTGTTGAAGAGGAGCAACAGTATCGCAACCGGCTCGACTCTGTGCTTACGGACAGCTGCCCCATGGAGCATGCGGCGCGAGCCCTGCTTCTTTACCATACATTGGCTGCAGCTGAAGGCGGCCCAACCAAGAAAGCAGAAGAGGCGTCGTTCCTGTTCTTAACTGCTTTGGTTGAAGCAGACCAACATACCGTGTTGTCTGCCGCAGCTGAGGGCTCTTGTGCTCAGCACGTGGCAGTGGCCCACGGCTTAACGCTCTTATGCGAGGATGATGGTGGCCCCGCCTACGGCTTGCAGCCTGACCTGCTTGGGGTGCTGCCCGTTCTGACCGAGCCCTTAGGGGCCCTGGCGTCAACTCCCGCACCGGCCCAAGGCCAAGAGCCGCAGCTGCACCCGGTCTGCTTCAAGGCGATGTTAGCCGCTTTGCGCAGGCAGTCAAAGCAGCCATTGCACCGCAGGACACCCCACATGCTGGCACTTCGCCTCCTGCGCCTTATGCTGCGACGCGGCAACTTGCAGCCTGGTGGCTCAGCTGCCGCCGAGCTTGCTGCTGGTGCGGCGGCGGCTGCTCCACTTTCCAGCACTGCTGCAACTGACGTTGGCGCATTGCCGACACCGCTGGCTGCCCATGCTGTGTCACGAACCAGCCATCTGGTGCTGCGCCAGAAGCATGTCTTGGATATTGCGGTTAAAGCTCTGGCGCTGTCCTGGGCGACAATCCCCAGCAGAAGCGGGCATGTGGGGGAGCTTATGGCGGAGTTATGGCGTTCGGCGATGGATATAGGTCGGCACGTCTGCCTGCATGCTGATCGAAACACCTGCTGCGGACTGGGGGAGGCGCTCCAAGAGGCGCTGAGCCCAATAGATCCACACGGTAGGTTGTGGTAAAGCGATGCGCCTGTCATACCAAGGCGCGCACTTCTGGTCTGTACTTGGCTTTTCCTATCTGCTGTTCATGAGCCATGTCGGCCTTTCCTCTGGTCCGTTCGGTCTGGTCCGCTCATCGTACCCTTCATTCCATGACACATCCTTTCCAGGCGAGGCCTCATCCAGCTGGGAGCCGTCACCGGTACCTCGCCCGTCTGTGGCTGCAGCAATCGCAGCTGGCCTGCTGCCCTGGCTGGAGGGCCTGCAGCGGTATCACATCACAAAAGTAGTCTCGGAATGCCGCGAGGGACAGGTCCTTCGTGCTTTCTTGGATAGAACCTGGGGCAGAGAAGTCGAGACCTGGCTCGCCCTCTTCACATATTCTGAACCGCGCCAGGCGGCATCGTGGGTGGTGACACACGCCAAATTGCTGCGGCTTGCGAAAGGGTACCAGTATCTGGCTGAATGCGCCAAGCGCCGCACGAGCGTCTTCCTCAAGCACATGGAGGAGTTGGCGTCCGGGCCGCTGGCTGAAACCCTGGTGCCCGAGGGCGGCCCTGCTGGTGATGATATCGGGCAGCCAGCGGGGCTTCAGCATCTGGGTCGGTTGGTTTCCTTTGCGGTCTGCGAGTGGCTGCCAATCGCCTCACTCCTCCTCCGGCAGCAGGCGTTGCAGTGTGCCATCGCTGGGGCCCCTAAGGGGGCAGGCATCAACAGGTATTGGGACACGTACATCGCTCCATTGGCGCGCTGGTTATCTGGGCTGGTGCTGTCCTGCAAGGGCCGCAGCGGCGATGCAGACTGCGGGGGCAGCAGCAGCAGCAGTGACGGCGGCTGGGTTCCCTTCCTGCTTCACGAGGTGGCGGTGGTGCCGCTGCTGGGCTCGCTGCTGCACCTCTGTCGCAGTGTTGAGTCGAACAAGGGGCCGGACCTGGCTGAACTCCTGGACTGCTGCGGCGTGGTGGCGAGTGCCTTTCCGCAGGAGGTGCAGGCGGCGGTGCGGGAAGCCGAGCAGGCAACCATTGCGCCGCCGGTGTTCGCCTGGCCGCCAGCGCAGGTGCGCGGCTTGGCGCCGAAGCTGCGGGAGAGCGGGCGTGGGGAAGCGGCAGACGCCGCTTTGGCGCTGGCAGCCCGGCTGGAGGCCTCGGGTTCTGAAGGAGGTGCCGGGAGCAGTGCCTTGAGCTTCAGGTGTGTGCCGGAGCGGCTGCGGCAGCGGGCCAGTGAGCGGGGCATGTCGGTGCCGGACGTGCTGGGGGTCATGCGGCGGTTCCTGGTGCCGCCGGCGGAGGCACGCCGCCTGCTGCGCACCTGCAGCAACCCCGCCTGTGTCAACCTGAAGGGGGACAGCGAGGCGGAGCTGCCGCTGAAGGCGTGCGCGCGTTGTGGAGGGGCGTGGTACTGCTGCCGGGAGTGCCAGACGGCGCATTGGCGGGCTCCAGGGGGGCATAAGGAGGCGTGCGGGCGGCGGCAGGGGGCTGCTCAGGGTGCTGCACAGGGGTGAGGGAAAATTATAAATAAGTACAACAACACAATCCAGGGGTGAGGGAAGGCGGATGTGCGGAGTTAGAATAGCCGCCGTGTTCGGAATGTTCACTTACAGCCAGCGGGCGTTATGGGTGTGCACTGTTGGGATTGGAAGCGCTTTTGCTTGGGACTTGTGTTTGTGCATATAGGTCACTCTAGCAGGGCGGACGACGCTATGCCCAGATGTGTGTAGTTGAGTTGAACAAGAGCAAGCAGTTGGGATAGGTTCGCATGTGAACCGCGAGTACAGGCAGAACAGAGGGAAAACAGATGCCCAGATGTTATTGCTTGGATTTGGTATTAGCCCGCAATTATTGGAGGCATTCTGGTAAGTTGACCCGAATTATATGGGATGCTTACCTAGCTAGCTATAATGGGCGGTTCGGCGGGGATTGGTGGCGCGGCGACGGAGAACGGTCGCCAACTACCAGGTGGCCAATTACAGCGGACTTATGGGAGCGAGTGTCCGTCATGCCGCTAGCACCAGTCTGGGCGCTCCAGTCAACGGCAAGCTTTGATTGTAGCCATAGGCGTGTGTGGTCGTGCGTGCCGATAAGCGAGGGCCCAGAGCTGTTTGGGGCCGAGCCATGAGCCGCAGCGCCTTGCCCGCTCGTCCATATCCGCATAGAACTAGTAAAGCTAGTATGACAATCCTTTACCCTACAGTTGTGATCGGCTTGCAGCTTGCCCTTCGCGCCAGCAAGGAATCCGGCTTGCCAACAACGGCAAATCAGCAACAATGGAAAGCTTTTTGTACCGACTTGTCAACGCCTTCTGTGCAAAAAAAACATGGTAAGCAGCTAGGACGTTAGATTGGTCTGCGCTAATGGCGGTTAAGGTCTCGGAGCAAGTTCGGCCGTCGTCTCAGGCATACGCCATGGTCAGAGGACAGATATGCTTTTGAAAGCCTACAGGTCATACAGAATATGGATAACCATAAAGTCCCTCACACGGTGAAGGCCGCCCTAAAGGCGCTTTCAGACATAGCCTATAAATTGCCGACGGGAGTCACCATAAATTGTCTTTTCAATGGAGACCTGGGGAATGCTAGAAAGCAGCTTGCGGAGATTAGTGCATATATGTGGTCACTGTCTACAGAGCGCAGGGCATCCGCCTCCGCAGCCATAGTAACATTAACCGGAGTCCGTGCATTCTTGTTAAGGCTTACGGCGGAGGCGGTGCGAATACTGCCAACCACAGGTCGTTGCGATGGCTTGGTGGACGAGCTTGTGGTGGAAGGCGCTGTGCTTGCCGGCAACCTGCTCATGTTCATGACGCACCTGGACCGGTACGTTCCAGAAGCAGAAACCCATAAACTTCGAGGGCCGTTGGATTTCGTGCGGAAGCTCTTCAGCATGCAAACAGTGCAAGCTTGTAGCCGTCAGCTAGCTGCCACGGCCGAGTGGCTGCTTAACGTTCGCAAGGAGGGCGTTCAGCAGCAGCCACTGGATACAGTGTTCAGCCAGGCGGTGTTGCCTGCCTTAACGCTGCTTGCTGGCATGATAGGCATCTCCTACCGAATGTTGTCTTGGGAAAGGGCTGCAGGCGTCGAACAGCAGCAACAGTATTACATCCGGCTCGGCTCTGTACTTAGGAACAGCTGCCCCATGGAGCATGCGGCGCGAGCCCTGCTTCTTTACCATACATTGGCTGCAGCTGAAGGCGGCCTAACCAAGAAAGCAGAAGAGGCGTCGTTCCTGTTCTTAACTGCTTTTGTCGAAGCAGACGGCTTTGTTGCGTTGTCTGCCGCAGCTGAGGGCTCTTGTGCTCAGCACGTGGCAGTGGCCCACGGCTTAACGCTCTTATGCGAGGATGATGGTGGCCCCGCCTACGGCTTGCAGCCGGACCTGCTCGGGGTGCTGCCC